GGAGGGAGAGGAGGCAATGAGAAAGTGAGGGAAGGGGAAGGGAGAGGGAGGAGGAGGGAAGGGGTGAGGGAGGAGGGGAGAGAAGAGAGTGAGGAGGGGAGAGGAGGAGAAAAAGCTGAGGCAGGGGAAGCTGTACTGGCAGTCCACTGGTGGGCCTCCATTCGCCATCTGTGACTGCAGTGCTGGTTCAGTGATAGCAATGTCACTTTTCCTGAGAGAGATCGAGGTTCAAATTCTGGCCAGTGCACCTCAGGTAGTCATTCCATCTTGGAAGCAGAGGCATGCACGTGAGTTCTGGTGACCTGCTTGATAAAGAGTTGCACTGCCAATCCAAATGCACACAGTTCGAACCAGCTGCTTCTTAGGAGAAAGGTAGACAGTCTCGTCCCATGAGATTTACAGCCCCTGAAAATCCACTGGAGGGTCAACTGTGAGTGGGTTCCAAGTCTGTGGAACACAACAACGTGATGCATAAGAACTTTCAACGGGGCTCCCAGACTATGACGATGCACTAGGAAGAAAGGCTGGGTGATCTGCTTCCAAAAGCAGCCAGTGAAAATGCCAGGGATCCAGTGCTTTATCTATAACCACCCCAGGGACACCACAGACTGGTAGTGTTGGGCTCCCTTGCATGTGGGGTCCCTCTGAGTGGAGGCAACTCAACAGCAGCTATAAGACCCCTCCTTCCACCATGTGCAGAACCGGGATTCAGGCTAGAGCCTGGCTTCCACGCTCACTGCAGGCTAGGGAGTGGGGGAGGAAGTCTGTTCTTACAGAAAGTTCCAGAACCACCTCACCTCAATCCTCTAGAGTGGCTTCTCTCCTGTTTCCTGTAGGATACTTAGTTGTTAACTGCTGAGTTTAGAGGCAATAAATTGCACAGGAGGAGACTGCATCTTTCTCCCTCGGAGAAGCTGTAGATTCGAGCTGAGTGCCTTTGGGATGGCAGCACAACTCCTTGCCACTAGGACACGGGAGCTCCCTTGTTGCTGAAAATCCATATAAAGCATGGTCTTTGCAATTACTTGCTATGCATAAAAAAGCTGGACAATGACTAGGGATGATAGGAGAGTTGATGCCTTTGGGCTGTGGGGCTAGAGAAGAGTATTGAATATACTATGGACTGCTAAGAGAAGTAACAGGTTCATCCAGGAGTGAAACCAGGCTGCTCTTTAGAGGCAAGGCTTTTGAAGCTCCGTCTGACACTTTAGGCATGTGGTCAGAAGGGATCCATCCTTTGAGGACATCATGCTTGGGAGGGTGGAGTGACAGCATAAGAAAGGAAGACTCAATGGGCTGGCTTGACTCATTGACTGGAGTAATGAGGGTAGTTGCATCAGAGACAGGTTGGCACAGGATGGAGCAAGGTTCAGGGCTGTTGTACACAGGGTCACTATGAGTTGCATGTGACTTGACAACGCATAACTGCATCATGCCAATTCCACAGTTTCTTCACATACAATTCAATGACACTGTTCTCTTCTGAATTCTTCCTCTCTCATTAACGTAACTCTGAAGCTGCTGTTGTCAGTTTGATTCCTTATGTTTGTTAGGTGCCATCGAGTCAGAACTGACTCATAGCTGACCTGCCAGCAGGTTTTCAGAGGCTGTAAACTGCACAGGAGGCGGCTTTCTCCCCAGGAGCAGCAGGTAGATTCAAACTGTGTGTCTTTGGATTGGCAGTGCGCCTTCTTATTCAATAGGTAGAGGATGGTATTTAAGGCAGACATTCTCCTGAGTGATTTACAGCCTCCCAAAAGCCACTGAAGGCTCAACTATGAGTCAGTTCCAGCTTGACAGCAATGAGAGAATTGAGTTACAATTGAAGTTGCCAAGTATTTAATTTTACTTGCATTGACACCTTGGAAACAACAAAAATAAAAATATATATTGGGCAAATCTGGACCTCTTTAAGGAACCTCTTTTAAACACTGAAGAGCAAGGACATCATTTTAAAGAAATGTTTTTTCAATTGCTTCCTATGCAGCTGAAAGTTGGACAATGAGTAGGGAATATCAAAGAAGTGAAGCCTCTGAGTTGTGTTGGAGAAGAATATTCATAAGCCACCAAAAGAACAAGCAATTACGTCTGGAAAGAGGGCAGCAAGGGTGCACCTTAGAGAACAGGATGGTGAGATTTCATCTCACATTCTTTGAGCATGGCATCAAGATAGGCCAGTCCTTGAAAAAAAGATGTCAAGCTTGGAAAATTAGAAAAAGTCTGAAAGGGAGGAAGACATCAGCAATGGGCATGAACATGCGTGGATTGTGAGTGAGGCACAGGATCAGGAAGGTTTTCATCTGTTGTTCACAAGGTCACTATATGTTAGAATAGACTCGATGGCACCTAACGACAACAAAAACACAGCTTTTTAACGAAACCTTTCTGTGAACGAGGAAGGACAGAAAAAAAAAAGAAATACGACTGCTTAGAGGGCACTGGGTTTCTGCTCATGGTGGTGGGGTGATATGGAAAAGGACAAGGCTGTTCACACAACATGATGACCATAAGCACCACTGAATTAACAGGTAAAAATTACTACAAATTGGCAAATGTTTCATTATAAGTATTTTCACAATTTGGGGAGGGGTGGGGAAGATGATTCTGAAACTTGAAACTATCAAGCCAGTTCAGTTCCCCCATCTGAAGCTCCAGCTGCTCCTTGACTATCTCCTGTGACACACAGCTCACTCCTTTGCTTAGCTGTTGTCAGAGGAGGATGGGAGTGGAGGGGAGCCACCAGGGAAATGTCTTCTGCCCTTTCTGGTCTAGCAAAAATGCCAACACCAGTTCTTCCTTAAAAAATAGTTTATTCCCACATTTCCTTTTGTTTTCTGTCCATCCTCCTGAGCGGCAGCTGGTCATTCCCCAAAGCTTAATGGCCTCCCCACCCCAGAACCCTCAGTTCTCAAGCAGCAGTGGCTCTTCCTGCCTACAATGCTGTCCTTGGGATGTGACAATGGAGTGCACTGTCCCTATACCACCTTTCCTTAACAGAGCTGTCATAAGCTGACAGCTAGACTGTCCCCTCTCAAGGGGACAGGTGGACTCATGAAGGGTAACTCCCTGTGCAGCAGTGCTGACTAGAAAGGCAGTCAGTCATGAGGGTCAGTGTCATAGCCCAGCAGTGTGTGGTAGCCAGCTGCAACCTGGACTATGGAGGGGGGGGAGAAGAATGGCCCGAGGTCCCCAGGCCCCAAGCGCCTTCTGAGCTGGTGCTGTTGGGTCATTGTGAAGTCCTCTCTGGAAACTTTGGTCCAATCCTTCAGAGCTGACAGCTCTCTGCCCTTTGGGGCCTGATCCAGTTACAGACCAGGCAACAGGTGAGGAAGGATGCAGACACTTGACGTGGCCCTCCTGAAGGTTAGGTGGAGGTGAGACTACCACAGGGACAGTGGGACGAGCAGGTGTGGGGAGAGGGCGCCCCTGTCTCTGGGCAGGAGTTTGCACACCCGAGGTGGGTGTCTGTGGAAGTGGTAATGGGCAATGACTTATGCTTACTAAGAGAAAAGGCAGACAGAGGACCCTTCTGGGGACAGCAGCTTAGCCATTTCCACACCTTCTCCTGCGAGGTGCTCAGAACGGCCTGGAGTGGTGTGCCTATTCATCCTCAAGAGGCCAGGAATCCCTGGGGGAAATACCATTTTATTCTTTTCATGAGGAATAATCCATGCCCTTTCTGGGGCACTAAGATACTGGCCGACCAGCATCATTACAAAAAGTCCTCTCTTGTCCATGTTGTTCTTTCCTTGGCCCGTCTGTTCTGCTGAAATTGATAAGATCCTTATATCTGGAGCAGGTCATGGGTATAAAAATGAAAGGCTTTGTTATCTGCTAACAAACAGGCCTCAAGACACCTAGGTCCTTGGATACCAGGCCCCAAGAAGCAAAAGGAAATGGGGGGAGGAGGGTGGGTTCAATCCAATGATGTCACAAAACCTCATCCCAAGAGACAGAACAAAGTAGATGTTCCCCAGCGGAGAGGAGGCCAGGTCCGCTTGGAGGGGGTCCCCTGAGCCTTTTATTGAGCTGGGATGAGCAGCAACTCTGTAGAGACACCCAGGATGGAGAGGCACAGCCACATCCTCGGCTGTGGCGGGCAGGTGGGTGGGTGGAGTGGCTTCTCTGGTCAACGGTCCTGAGTGTTGGGGCTGTGTCAGGTGGAGGCTGGATTCTCCATGGTGGACAGGAGGTGGGCGACCTGGGCCCGCTCAGCTTGACTGACATGCTGGCTCATGAGGATCATGCTGTCCACAGCCACCTCGGGATTCTCCTGGACCAGGCTGTGGGGAGAGGGGCAGTGGGCAGACTGCTGCTTGGTTCAGGGCCCCTCGAGAAACAGGGTCCCTCAGCACGTTCATGTTGCCAGGTAGACCAGGGCCTGACATGCCAAGGCCCTTACTGGAGAGATAATGAGAGGTGGGAGTCCAGTGGGACAAGGGTGCAAGGTCTGGTGAGTAGAACACCACGAGGGGTGACAGCTGGACCTGTTGGTCACTAGCTGTGTGTCCTGAGACACAGTGTCACCCCCAAGTGAGGTCTCATGCACTCTACCAGCTACCTCATTGGGGGACTCCTCAGAAGAAGGGGAGCAGCCCTCTGTGAAGCCACAAGGGACACTGGCACCTGAAAGCCTAGTGGCCCAGACTCTGCAGTCTGTACTGGCCCTGGCCCCAGACAAGTCACTGATTCCAAAGACTGGGAACAGAAAGTTCTATTCCTGGCCTAGCACCCCCACCTCTCCAGCTGCTGTGCGGACAATGGACATTGGGGTGTTGTGGTCTGTGGGGCTGGACAGGACAGAGGATTCAGGAGGCTGGACTCAGGCACTGGCCAAAAAGGCGGGCGGGCAGGGGGCAGGTGTGGGGCAGTCTCTGACCTGCGGATGGTCTTGAGGACGAAGTCTCGCTTCAGGTACTTGATGTTCTCACGGATGGTGGATTGCAGTCCGTCCTCCACCTGCCAGTGCTGCTCCAGCCACCGCACCGCCACCTCATTGTTGTCCCACAGGTAAGCCTGGCAGGGGCAGAGGCTGCCTCAGGGGGTGTCCCCCCGGTGGGCTGGCACTGACCCCCACCCCCGGCCTGCAGCCCTGGCCCACCTTGACAGCTCCCTCAGTCTCCATGAACCAGCGGCGCAGCATGGACTGGACGTGTACGTGGCTCAGCTCCCCAGCGGCCCGCAGGATCTCCTGCTTGACCTGCTCCTCTAGCAGCAGGCGGCGCAGGCGCCAGTACAGGAAGGTGCGTGCTGTCTTCCACTCCAGGATGTCCTGCCAAGGAGCTTGCCTCAGTCCCCACCCCGCAGCCACCCTGCGTCACTGCCACCCTCCGGGAGAAGGCAGAGCTGGAAGCATGAACCCAGGCCCAGCTGCCTGTGGGGAGGACCTCCTGCTCTTAGCCAGGCCACTTGACGGGCTCTCACAGGCTCAGGATGACCCCCGTGTGCAGAGCTGGGCTGCTCTACAGGGTGTTCATGGCTGCGATCAAGTCAATGCAGATCACCAGGCCTTCCTTCCATGGAGCCTCAGGCTAAGGCACGTGCTCAATCATAAAAGGTTGAGTCAGCTGGAAAGCAGAGCATGCCAATGAGGAGCTGACACGCACTGGAACGGGATTCTCCTGGAGGCAGGGTGCCAGGGCAGGACTGGGGTGTGTAGTGGGCAGGAATAACGGTTCTGTAACTGGCCTGGTCCAGCCCACTGGCCAATTAGATTACTGTTGTTAGCTGCCACTGAGTCAAGTCTGACTCTTGCCTCTGTGTGCATGAGAACAGCCCCACAAAGCTTTCAAGACTGTCACCTTTCTGAAGGAGATCACCAGGCCTTTCTTCCACAGTGCCCCTGAGTGGGTCTGACCCACCCACCTTTGGACAGGTACTCCAGTACTAATTGTGTCATGCAAGGACGTCCCCAGGGGTTAGAGCGGTAGTCTCACACTCTACCACCTGCTGGAATCTTTTGAGGATCTTTGAAGGGACATGGGTCCTGGATCTCGCCCCTAGATAATCAGATTTCATTGTATGTTGTGTTGGGGGGTTTTAAGTTTCTCGTGTTCTCATGTGCCAGGTCTGCCCCCTCTCAAACCCTCCATGTGTTAAACACCAGGTGACCTCAGGGTGAGTCATCTGCACCCCCTCACAACTGCCGGCTCTTACGGAAATGACCCCCTTCTCCAGCATCCTGCCCGGCGTGTCGTGCAGGTCCGCGAACTGCAGTGCCACCTGGTGGTAGATGGGGAGCAGCAGGTCCTCCCGGGCCTTCAGTAGGCTCTCCAGGTCCTTTCGGTCCTTGTCAGAGAGATTAGGTGCTCCTGGGGCAAGCGGACAAGTTGATCAGGCCTTGGAAACCAGAGAATGTCGTCTCACCTACCGCTGCTCGAGTGGGACGGGGACCAGCCATGGCCAGGTCAGGTCTTGTCCCATGACAGTTGCAGCTTTAACTCTGACATGACCCCTAAATTGTGCAGTCTCAGAAAATGCCTTCACAACAGCAAAACAAGACTCTACATGAAACTTAGAATCTGCCCCCATGTATCACTGTCAGCTGCTATCAAGAAATTTTCATTAAATGTTATGTGCTGTCAAGCTGGAACCAATTCATAGCTGACCATCCAGTGGGTTTTTGAGTCTGTAAACCGCACAGGAAGGAGGCTGCCCATCTTTCTCTTGGGGAGCCACTGGTGGATTCGAACCACCTGCTTTTGAGTTGGCAGTGCAACTCCTTACCCAGTAGGCCACTAGAGCTACCTTTTCAATAAACTGTGTAAAATAAATGAAGGGAATATCATAAACATCTATGCCAATATGATGATTTAGAGGAAAGGGACAAAATTCTTTGTTTGTATTTTTCATACACACAGCCAGAGTTCACCTGAAAAGAAACAAATAGCCTGAGTAGCCCTATGGCAAATAAGGAGTTGAATTTGTAGTTTGAAAGTTCCTACAACATTGTTCGGCCAATCTAAAAGCATGTGGTGTGTGTCCATCAGATGCTCTGCAAGAGGAGAATCGCCTCTCATGGAAAAAAAAACCATGAGAAAAATCTCCCTCTGGAAACTCACTGGAGGGTTTTGCTCGATGGCAGTGATACAAAGGGGGCAGATTCCAAGTTACATGTTGAATCTAATTTACACACTTAATGAAGAAGTCATGTTGGCCCCCAAAAAAACCAAAACACTTTCTAAATGATTCTATGAGATTGGCATTAATCTGTTATCAAACCAGACCACACACACACACACACACACACACACACACTCTAATCTTAGGAATAACATAGTTCTAAAAATCTTTCCACTTAATACAGACATATAAAGAGAATTACATGTTAAAATGACAAGTGAAACAAATCTATCATTCTAACAAAATCAGTTAAAATATTTTATGTCTGGTGGTAAATTCTAAAGAGACATCTTGCCACTGTGTTCCTCATTTGCCCCCAATACTTTCTTTTCTATATAAAATTTTATTTTATACTATTTTACTTACAAAGTTCATATACACTGTTTTTCACACCGATCTTTCCCATTTTCTTAACCCATCCCTCCCTCTATCCTGCCCCCAATACTTTAATTTCTCTACTTTCTATGGGCAAAGAAATAAATTCACTCTTTACTGTATATATGGAGCAGTGAGGTGTGGGGTTTTTTTTTTAATGTTAAAGGGACTGTTTTGCCATCTGTGAACACTGAAAATATTCCTTAATTTTTGTGACTGTGCGTGGTCCACCCTCATTTGATGACAGGAGAAACCCCCAGCAGAACCTCTCCAACCCCTGTGAGGTGGTGCGTTTCAAACTCCTCACCTAGCTTCTCCACAAGCTTTTTGTACGTTGGGTCAATCCTCTTTATGGCCTTTATCAATTCTTTATTTCGGAACTTGATCTCCACAGTTCCCTCTGGCTCCAGAACACCACCCCTGGAAGAGAAGAAGCAGGGAGAGTAGTCTATGTCACTGTCTACCCAGCGACAACCAGTCACGAAAGCAGGGGAAGCAACAGAGAGCTGAAGGTCTAAGCTCTTCCTCCGACTCACAGGGTAACAACTCTGGACAGTCTGGGGTTTTTTGGGTTTTGTTTTGTTTTTTGTTTTTTTTTTGCGGGGGGGGGGAAGGGTGGTGGGTTTTGTTTTTGTTTTTTTTGCTTTTGAAAGCTGAATACAACATATACCTCTGAACTCCCTAGTGGCCAGAGTGACAAGTGAATGCAGCCCCAATTTGAGGCTGTTTGCTGTCTGAGCCTTCTTGCAGGGCTGACCTCAGCAGCTCTGCTCAGCAGGTCTAAGAACCCTGAAGGCAGGACTAGCTTGCTTGTTCACCATCTCATCACAATGCCTTGAGGACCCTTATTAGATGCTACTGAGTTGATGCCAACGCACAGCGATGCTCTGTACAGTATACTAGACTAGAACGCTCTCCTGGTCCTGCATTATCCTCATCCTAGCTGTGCAGGAGCCCACCGTGATAGCCACTGTGCCAGTCCATCTCACTGAGGCGCCTCCTCGTTTTTGCTGATCTCCTACCTGGTCACACATGATGTCCTTCTCTAGGGACTTGGTCCTTCCTGACAACATGCCCAAGCATGTGAGACAAAGTTTTGTCATCCTCAGTTCTAAGGAACTTTCTGGTTACAATTTTTCCTAGACAGACATATCCATTATTCTGCTGTTACGTACCAAAGAGTCAGAACTGACTTATAGCTGAACCTCTACTGGGTGTTCAGAGACAGTTAACCTTATAAAAGGAGACTGCCCATCTTTCTCCTGTAGAGTAGCTGTTGGACTTGAACCATGTGCCTTGGGGTTGGCAGTGCAACTCCTTGCCACTAAGCCACCGGAGTTCCCTACACCATGGACTAGCAGAACTTTTGGTGAAGATTCAAAATTCTTCACCAACACCAAAGCCCATTAGAGTGCCTTCCAAACAGAAGGTGGTCAATAGTCAATTAATAAATCAATAAGGAAGTAAGTGGTGTTATGTTATTAGAAGCCATTTAGTCGAGTATGACTCATAGTGGCCCTGTGAACAACCTATCTGAACTTTGTTCTATCCTGTGCCATCCTCACACTTCCTGATACAGAAGAGCCCATTGCAGCAGTCACCATGTCAATCCACCTGGTGGAAGGTCTTCTCCCTCACCGCCCCTCCACCCTTCCCAGTACCAGATCCTTCTCCAAGGAATAGCACGTCCTAGCAACGTGCCCAAAGTACTTGAGGCAAAGCCTCATCATTCCTGCCTCCAAAGTGCATTCCAGCTGCACCCTCTCCAAGACATATCTGTTCGTTCTCTTGGCCATCCATGGAATGTTCTCTAACACCACAACTAAAAAGCATCAATAATTCTTCTGTCATTCCTCTTCATGGTCCAGTTCTCAGATTCATACCAAGTGATTACAAAAACCATGACCTGAATCAGAAGCACTCTAGTCCTCAAACTGACATCATTACTAATAATTTAGAAAGGTCCTTAACTACGGACTTTTCCAGTGCAATGTGTCTCCTTATTTCCTCACCACTGGTAGTAAGGGTGTTAATTGGACCCAAGATGAAGTTGTTGACAGTTTCAATCTGTTCTCCATCATTACGTTTTCAATCAGTCCAGTGGTAAGTATCCTTGTTTTCTTGATATTGATATAATCTATACTGAAGGCTGCATTCCTTGATCTTCTGCAACAAGTGCTTCAAGTTCTTCTCACTTTCATCAAGCAAGGCTGTGTCATCTGCATAATGCAGGTTTTTGATAAGTCTCCCTTCAATCCTGATGCTACATTCTCTTCACAGAGTCCAGCTTCTCAAACACAAGATACAGATTTAAATAGGTATAGATAGAGAATACACCTCTGACACAGTTCTTTCTTAATCTTAACCATGCAGTGTTTAGATCATTGGTGTAAACTGTTTGGTAGTTTTTTATGTAGTTAACAATCAGGTGTAAGCTGATTGGCTCATTTTGATTTAGTTAACAGACAAGTGTGGTCTGCAAGCCTCTTGTTTAAAACAATCAGGAGCTGGTGGGCAAGAATTTGTATTTAAAAGTCAGTGGACCAGGGCCACAGGCTGGTATGAAGACTAATTTGGCACTGGGGTTAAAAACTAAACTGGCAGTTTGTTGTGTTTGGGAAGCACATTGTTCTAAGTGGTACAGCACTTGTCTGTCAGTTTGCTGTACTAAGATAACTTGAGTTTGCTGTACTGAGATAACTTAAGTTTGCTGTGGTATTGACAAGCTATGCCACTGGTGTGTCAAATACCATAAGGGGTACAAATGGTGGACAGGTTTTAGTAGAATTCCCAGATTAAGACAGACTAGGGAGCAGGACTGGCCATCTACTTCTTAAATAACAGGCCTCTGAAAATCTTATGAACACTAGAGGAATGAGGATAAGAAAGTGAGTATAAGAATAAAACACCAAAACCCTTGTTAGTTGAATCAGTTTATTCTTATCAAGGTGACCCTCAAGTGTGTCAGAGTAGAACTAGGCCCTGTGAACTCGGCATGGCTGTGACCTTTCAGAAGCAGATGGCCAGGCCTTTATTCTGCAGTACTTCTGGTGGGCTTGAACTGTTAACCTTTTGATTAGCAGTCAAGCACTTAACCATTTGTACCACCCAACAGTCCACGGGATTAGAATGCCCAGACTGATTCTGCAGCTTTTTCTGTCCTGCACAGCAGCTAGTGTAATGCCTTCACAAGGTCCCAATCAATATTGTGTCGCAGGCATTATTATCCTTGTCTCTTCTGTGAGGGAGAGTTTCTCCTAAAGATTATGCTTTTAACAGCTGGTATCCTCCTCTGGAAGTATTCAATCAGTCATTTGTTTAGCCAATATTTCCCAACAATCAGGCACTGCAGTAGACACTGGGTTATAAAACTGTATATAACTCAGCCTTTACAGGAACTCATAGTTTGGGGAGAGACTTAGAATTTAGAAAGAGCTAGGTAGTTGATATTTCCTTTTCTGCCCTGGCTGCCAGGAATCTCATCAGCTTTGAATCTTTCCTTTTAATTTTGTTTTCTTGGTTTGCTTACAAAGTTTATATACATTGTGTTTCACACTGTTCTTCATTCACAAATTAATCATCATTGGACTGTGCCCATCATTGCCCTGTCTTCTTGCCTGGATCCTCCCATTTATTTCCCCTCTTCTTTCCCCCACAAAACTGTATGATTATTTTTCCATTGTCTATTTTTTAATTTTTTAATTGAGATTTTAATTAAAATTACCAAGAACTTGTATTTCCATTCATTTATAGTTGCACATTTTCCTCCCACCCCCCACCCCCCGAGTCCACTTTACTATTCGGGCCTTGTTCTGGACTGTTTATGCAAACAATACCTAATCATATATTCCTTTTAAACAGTTCTTTCCCTCATCTGTTTCAATGCTGTGTACATTATTTATCCTCTCTTTTCATGGATTGCAAATTTTTTTTTATTACAAATGACCATAAATTACAAAAGAATGGACAATCCCCCCACTGTCTCCAGGCTCTAGTCTCACTCTGGGGAGCATCATTTGCACACAGCATCGAGTTTTGGAGGGTGCCCCTGGAAGGTGTCACCCTTTAGAAGTACCAAGAAAAACTGGGCCTGTCAGTGGCTCAGGTTGGGGGAGTGAGCAGGAGACAAGGCTAAGCGGGGCTTGAAGGCGAGCACTCACCTGCTCTCTTTGTCGGCATACATTTCTATGCACAGCGGGTTGATGGTGGAGTCTAAGACCACCCAGGAGCCTCCACGCAGCTCCGCATAAGGTGGGATGTAGATAAGGATGGGCTGTGTGTACTGTCTCAGGCCATCCACGATGTAGGACCCAAACTTCAGCACCTGGTCATACATGTCTGAAATGCACGGCAGGGGCGGTAGGCATCTTCAGGCCCTAGTACCACTGACCCAGGATGCCCTCAGTAGCAGTGGCCTGGGGTGGGGTGTCTGTAAGCCTGTTCTGGGTGGGGATCATGAGCCATGAGGAGAGAATGCATGGGGCCAGGAGGTTAGTATAGGCACAGGTCATTCCCTACACAGCCATGTGGCCTTGTACAAGGCACTCAGCCTGGGCACCAGTTTCCTCATCTGGAAGAGGACCAGGAAAATCAACCAATCCCAGCTGTGACTCCAAGATCCCTTCATTGTCACTTCCCCTGCACTGTCCCACAACTTTTATTACTCAGAGACCACCCCAACTAGTTCTTTCTGTCTGCTGATTAGGGTACTTCTGTTCACCAAGGTCTGTCCCTCCAAGGTCACTAAACCAAAACCCCAAACCCTCCATCACCAAGTTGATTCTGACCCATGAGTGACAGAGTACAACTGCTTCCTGCAATGGTCTTGCCCTTTTTGACAGCCAATTGTCAGGCCTTTCCTGTGTGACACCACTGGGGAAGTTCAAACCTCCAACCTTTGTTACTGTTGCTGTATGTTGTTAAGTGCCATCCAGTCAGGTACAACTCATAGCGACTCTATGAACAAAAGATCTGAACACTGTTCTATAATTACCATCATTTTTCTAATGTTCACAGTTTTCAAAGGCATGTTGTTTAGGAAATGGATGCCAATCCTGCTTCCAAGCCTGTCTTAATCTGGGAGTTCTACCAAACACTGTCCATCATGGATAACCATTGTGGCATTTGACACACCAATGGCACACCGTTCAGTATCATAGCAGCCCAAGTTATCTCAGCACAGCAAACTGACAGACAAGCGCTGTACCACTTAGAAGAATGTTCTTCCCAAACACAATTAACACCAGGTCTGTTGGCCACTAGGTTACTCAAAACCAAAACCTCCATTCATTGCTGCAGAGTCACAACTGACTACCAGCTGGCCCTTCAGTGGATTTTCAGAGGCTGCAAATCAGAGGAGACACCCCTACCTATCTTTCTCCCTGCAGAGCTGCTGATGGAGTCAAACCAGCTACCTTTCGGTTAGTCACACAGCCGTCTATGGACAGTGCCACCAATTTAATCTACAGAACAAACACATCAGTAACATCAAGGACAAATGCACTCTGAACGCACCAAGTGATTGGCACCGGATCCTCAAAGATCTGTACGTTGGCCCTCAGGGGGTCGTTCTGTTCTTATCCTCCTTAATAAAGGAGTCAAGCTGAGGCTCAGAGAGATCAGTCAGCCACCAGGGCCACAGCCCGTGTCTGCCTGTCTCCCAATCAGGCTCGCTCTTTGGCGCCACACCAAGGACTGTATTTCAAAAGTGTGCTAGGTAGTGAAAAGCATTTCCACAGCTGCAGGGCTATGCAAAAGAGCCCTAGGGGTTTAATGTTCGAGCACTCAGCTGTGAATGAAAAGGCTTGTGGTTTGAATCCACCCAGCAGCACTACAAAAGAAAGGGATGGTGATCCACTCCTATAAAGATTTAAGCCTGCTGTCAAGTCAGCTCTCACTCACACAGAACCTCTGTTTATGGGGGGAGATTGCCTATCCTTCTCCCAAAGATAAGCTGGCAGATTCAAATGACTGATCTTTTCAGTGAGCAGCCTGATAAATAATGCACTACACCAAGATTCCAGCCCAGAAAACCTGAGGGGGCAGTTGTATTTGAAGCCACCGTCACTCAAAGGACTCAGTGGCACACAGCAGCCACTGCACGCTCACTTGGGACTTCTGTCATCGAGCCGGGGCTCTCAGAGCGGAGCCCCCCAGCAGGCTGCCGAGGCTGCAAATCATACAGGAGGAGTCTGCCTAGTTTCTCTCATGAAGACATAGCTGGATCTGAACCACCAGGGTGGTGCTGGCTTTACATTAGCAGTGTGCACTACACCACCAGAGCTCCCGGCACCACCAGGAAGGCAGTTGTGACCCCTTCTCCTCATTCTACGGATGGCGAAGCATGTGCTTCTCTGGGTCACTCAGAGCACCAGAGCCGAGGTGGGAGGCAGTCAGTCCAGGTCCCTCGCTGCACGGCAGGACCTCCAGCAAGCCACATGCTTTTCCCAAGCATCAGTTCCCCATCAAATGTCAATGCTGCTGTAAGGCTTCCTTTCTAAGGACTGTTAGGAGGCCCCACTGACAGGACAATGAGCCTGTGTCCTGATCCAGATGCCCGGGAGCTGAGCCTGCTCTGCAGTGACCTCTGGGCACAGCCTTACCTTTCATGCCACCGGAGAACCCCCTCCAGTTGGCGAAGATCATCAGGGGCAGCTTCTCCCGGTTGAAATCCTTCACGGCCTGAGCTGTCTTATAGGCCGAGTCGGGGAACCATACCTGGCCCGCCTGCTGGATAATCTGAGAGAGGAGCCAGGGGTCAGGCTCTCCTGACAGCAGGGGCCCAGAGACACAGCCTCACACGGAGTCACACCAACTCCAGAGTTAGGGCTCAGGGCACTCTACAAAGGTGTGTGCTACAGACCCCCCAGGACCCTCCCTCTTCAGCACTGGAGGTTCACGTGAGCCCATTTATAGGTGAGCTGACTGAGGCCAGAAAGGAGCAGGCTAGGAGGCTCGGGCAGAGGAGGGCAGGAAGGGCTCCTGACAACCGAGGTAATTCCTGGTGACCGTACATGTCAGAGCAGATCGGTGCCCCACTGAGACGTCAATGGCTGACCTTTCAGAGCACCAGGCTTCTCTTCAAAAGTGTTTCCAGGTAGACTTAAACCATCAACCTTCTTGTTAACAGTTGAATGTGCTATGTGTCTATACCACCTTGGGAACTTTCAAGGGGTCCCTCTGAGGAAGAAGTGGCTGTAGAGATGGCTCCACAGAACGGGGCACTGAACCCCACACTGGCACCCACAGGCCTGGGGCTCTGCCAAGTGTTCTCCTTTCTGGCCTCTGAGCGGAAGGTCGGAGAGGACCACAAGCCCAGCAGAGACCTGCACCCGCAGGCCGACCTGGTGGATCTAGCAGCACGGCTCACCTTGGCCTCGGAATCCAGGTTGGCGGGGTCTGCGGGGACGGCCACCTCCACGGTCCGTGTCTCCACAGCTATCACTCCAACGGGCATGCCCCCCAGCCTGGAAGGCAGAGTGCAGGTGAGCAGTGGTCAGGCAGCACCCAGGGCTCCTGGGGTCCCCCAGACCCAAGGGACACTAGTCAGCATTTATAGGCTATGGACTTGCAGGACAAGGATGATGGATGGCATGTCAAGGAGAAAGCTGTTTTAATCTGGTGGATTCTTTTGCTGAGAGGCCAAAAAAAGGGATTAAACAAATAAGACCTGCATCACCTGGAAACAGGACAGGTCTTACTGGGACAAGAGCTGATGGAGGGTGCTGAGCAGTGTGGGTCTCCAGCAGCCTGCCCATTCCAGCCTCCTCGATGCTGCCATGCTCTGCACAAGACGGCAACCACGAGCCACCTGGGGCCGCTAAGCCCTTGAAATGTGGCCCAGGAGACTGGAACGGAATAAATAATCCTTTTTTTTTTACGATAATAATTTGATATTTTTTATACATTCATTTAACATTATATTGTAGTGGAATGTTTAACATGAGAAAATTCTAAAATTATAAAGTTCATAAAAAATGTAAATGTCCATGTTACTATTGTTGTTACACAGTCCTATGTAATCTAAATTTAGATCGTGGCACGTGTAGCCAAAGGAGCCAATGGCCAAGCAAGCTACTATGCTGGGCAGGGCAAGCGCAGATCCCAGGTGACAGGTGTAAAGGGGTGTTTAGCTCCAGCAGGGACAAGGACCTCACTGGCAGGGGCCACTTGGGAGTGGCCGACACCCCGCAAGCCACCATGATCTGTCTCATCTAATGACAGGAGACCCAACAGAGGAGGTGCTGTGAGGAGTCTCTATGCACATGAAGGGTCACACTGGGAAGAGAGAGATTTGCTTTCAAGGTTTTAAAAAAAAGATTCTTAAGATCAATAGCTACTGAGAAGTGACTAAGCCCAACTGTCACGTTTAGGTCAATAGCATAATCCCAGCAGCTGTCCTGACCCTTAGCGGTATTTTAAAGGAGCCCCAGTGGCATAATGCATTATGGCTGGTCTGCTGACCAAAAACTCAGCAGTTCACACCCAGCAGGCACTGCAAAGCTGAAATATGGGCAGCCTTCTCCCTTAAAGATTTACTGCCTCAGAGGCCCGATGTGGGGCTGCTATGTGTCGGAATTGACTCAAGGTCATGGGTTTGGTTTCTGATGTTTTAAGCAGTTAACACAGGCTAGTCTTTCTAATGGCACAGTGATCCTTAAGGGTGGAGTTATTGTCCCCACTTTATAGATGTTAATGTGGAGGCTGAGAGGTGAGGTGGGACTTGATCTGGACTTGTGGCTTCTGTGTCATTATCAGGAACCCCTGTGGGCTCAGGACAGGGAGGAACTTTGAGGCAGCTGGAGCCATCTGAAGCAATAGGGCTCACCAGTGGGGAGTGAGCCCTTCAGCTCTGGAAGCATTCAAACCTTCTGCCTTGATTGAGGTCATGGGTTTTCTGTCTGAGGCCTTTCTGAGACAGTAATCAGGGTTTTGAGGACCTATGTAGTGTTCTGGGGAGAGCATCCAGGCTTTATTCAAGTTCCCAAAGGGGTGCATGGTCCCCCATAATCAGAGAGCCCTGCTCTGAGAATTAACAAAGGATCACCCAGCAGGGAGCAGCAGGGAACACAGACGAATCTGGTCTTTATGAAGTTCATCACAGAGATACATTCCTCTGCTGGTTTTGCATTCAGAAGTCCTGGGTCAAAGAGATGGTGTGTCTCCAGGGGTCCTTTGGGAGGGAAGAGCCTCATGTCCCAACACCCGGGAGTCCCAGCACCTGCTCCTATCCCAGGGTTACCTGGCTCGTCCTGTCACCACAGTCTGGGCCCAGGGTGCCATGATTTCTCTGAAACTTCCCTGGTCGAAGAATCCACTCTGCCAGGCCCCCTTCTGAGCTGAGGGCAGGAGAAGGGAGGTTAGAGGTCAGCTGAGAGGATGTGCCTGACAGCCAAGTGCCTTTACACCCAAAAAATACAGCCACCTCAAAAAAAATACACCCAATAGGAATTAATTCAATCGCATCCACATCCACTTACCACCAGGCCTCCCTGACAATGTCCAGCACTCTGAAGACCACAGCTCAGCTCCCATTTCCTCTTTCCCATCAGGCAGGACCCCAGGAAGGAAAACTTATCCCTCTCAGCTGACTGCAGCTTAATAGCCACTTCATTAATTAACATCACTTAATTGGCCTGATGGGTTGAATGATGCTCCCCCAAAATGTGCTGGAATCGCAACGTGTGGATAAGGAGCCCTGGTGGCACGGTGGTTAGGTGCTCAGCTGCTGACAGAATGGTTTGAACACTTTGGTGGTCACTCCATAGACAAAAGATGTGGAACCGGTCACGGTCAAGATGAAAGCCTCGGACACACTGTGGGGCAGCTGTACTTGATCTGCTGAGAGCAGGATACTGGGAGGCATTGTGGTGATTTGGAAATGGAGGCTTCTTCATTGGACAATGAAGTCACATCCACATAGGGTGTGTCCTAAGTGTAATCACCTCAGAGTGACGAGAGGCAGAGCTGACTGAGATGTGTCCCATGCTGGGGAAGACAGACACCATGGCCTAGGAAGCCTGGGGCTAACGGCAAAGGAGTGACTCTGTCCAGGCTGGGACTAGGACCTGGATGTCCAGCCTGCAGAACCTTCAAGAAGTCTCTTCTTGAAAGCCACCCACCTGTGGTACTGGTGTTACAGAAGGACCAGCTCAAATGCCTGGGACAAGAGCCCCTGATAGGGCTTCCCAGAGAAAGAGACTCCCAGAGACCAGGACAGGTGATGGGAGTCCACGCCCAGATGAACATGATGGCCATCTGAGAGTCAGGAGGCAGCACAGGTGACTACTGCTGTAGATGAGAGCAGCCAGGCGCCTGGGAACTACAGCACCTGAATGCGCCATCCACCTGATGTCAGAGCAGAGGGAGCAGCCCATGCTTTAATGTGGACAGAGCGCCCGGAGTGCTCACAGATGGGGAAAGTAGAGAGATGGAGAGAGGAAAAAATGAGCCATAGGGGCTCCCTCTGTGGGAGAGGCTCCTGGGGACCCCACTGGACAGGGTCACTGCTCCTGCCTCTCAGCTAGATGGGCAACCGAGTTCATCCGGGAGCAATGTGTGAAATTCTAGACAGAGGATTAAGGTAACAGGGTGGCTCAGCTTTCCTGTCCTCTCCTGGTTGCTCAGAGTGAAATAATACACGTCCCTTTGAAAGAGAGTATGTGTGTGCATCTGTGGGTACATCTCTCTGTGTGGACCTCTGTGTACCTGTGTGTACATGCATA